CACTATTTAAAAAAATGATAAAACAAAAAATAATGGCACCAAAACTTGTCACCCAAAGATTTATATAAACAATTAAAATACTACTCTTCGGTTGTTGTTCACTGCTATGAATTCTTTTACAATTTCATCATAGTCAATTTCAAATTCACGTTCAATTTTTAGCAATGCAAGTGCTGATAAACGATCTTCTTCTGTTGTTGTTGTTGTTGTTCGAAGATAAGTTTTGATTCTTCTCAATGTCGAATAGTTTCTTTCGCATCCACAAATGTTTACAGGTATCGTTAATAAAATCCTAAACAATTCGTTCATTACAGGTATTAAAAAAAAGAACATTCTCTTGTTCTATTCTCTTTCTCAGTTATGTGAATAAGCATTATAGATCATATTATAAAGTTCATCATTCTGAAAATGACTATGAGATTTGTTGTGATGCAATAAAAGGTTCTTCAAAAATTACAACTAAAGAAACATTTTAGGTGTGGCAACTGCCACACCTTGCCACTGTGGTGGCCCGCCGATGGTAATAGCATATCTATTACATCGATCATCCAAATCAAGATGTTAGTTAAGCAAATTACAAGATCAATATATGTCATTATAAACTATTCTGCTTACGGATTATCTCTTAATTAAATTTGCAATTGAAAATTTAAACATAATTTTTTGTCATAGTTGTTGAAAGTAGTATGGCTTTCATTTAATAATATCTGTAGAAAACTGCAACAACATCTCAACAGTGTGCATAAATTATTAGGTTCCGAATTATGCATTCAGTGTCGATTTGAAGGTGACATATTACTTGCAAGATTTCTATTACCGATAGATTGCAAGCTCTGGGATCTAGTAACATTTCTATTATGATCTTAATTACAGATTTTAACATATAGTAAAATTAACAAATTCATTTTGTACAACCCGTAGTGACTCTACATGACAACTATAATCTCTTCTATATTCTAGAGCATGCTGTCAATCTCAAGAATATAACCCAGAACACTAATCAGAAATTGGTACTTTATTCATTATGGCTTTTCCAAGTTCAATCAATAGTAATCATGACCTAATCTAAACTCATCATGGGAAAAATACTTGACGAATTTCATCAAGTAATACTTGAATAATTTCATACAATATATGTGAAAATAATCAGCATATCAAGT